GGGGTGGGGTGGGGTGGGTGTGGAATTTTTGATGGGTTCAGAGAGTACTCCAGATGTAATCTAAAGTCAGTGTTGTTTTCGGCTGTGAGTAAAACTGAAAATACTCACCTACAGCTTATTACAGTGGCAGAATAGAAAATTAAAACGTTTCTTGCATGCATTGCTTGCACAATGTGCAAGTACAGCTAGAAGTTCCTGCATTGCAGTCACCGTGGACAAATGACTGAAGCTGTGATCGGAAGTTGCTTAATAAATGAATGAAAAAATTATTTGTCTCTAACTATAATGTAGAATTTTTTCTTTTTGTAGATTCATTTGTTCTCTTTTTATAGTTTCTGGTTGTGTTTTAATTTATGAAATAGTTGACTGAAGGCCAATGAAGCAGGCCAATTTATTGTTAATTTTTAATTTGCTATGCATTGCAAGTGAACATCCAGAACATTATTAGTCATAAAACAATTGAATAACTGTAGGAAAGCTTGGGCAAGTAAGGATAGTTTATAACATGTAACTCTCTGAGTGATATTTGAAAAGTCCTTCAAATTGCGCTCACCTAAAGACTCATGCAATTTTCAGGTAATTTTCAAATATCACTCGTAGTATAATTCCTTAATTGCAAAGTTCACATTCATACAATTACCTAATAGTATACAAATTAGTGAAGAGTTGCCAGGGACACTAATGACACTATTATGATGATTTTGGTCATCAAAAACATGCAAAAAGTGGTCGATGTCTACATTTTGGTCCAGATTCAAGGTCAGTTATCTCTGAAGAATTTCATGGCTGCCCTTAGGTTTCCTCTTGGATTTCAATAGCCCTTACTGAGTTCTTCTCTTTCTACAGTGTACATGGCCCTACAGGCAGACCTTTTTAGTAAGCATTGTCCTGTAAAGATAACTTTTCTGCTTCTATATTATAATACTGTTGTGATTTTCTTGCAGAAATGTTCTTGCAAGAGCCTTGTACATGATTCGTTTCCCCCTTATGAGCCTTGAAGAATTTGCGGCTAGTGCTGCCCAGTCTGGAATCTTAACAGACAAGGAAGTTGTCAGCTTATTCCTTCATTTCACAGTGAACCCTAAACCTCAGGTTCAGTTTCTTGACAGGCCACGTTGCTGTTTGACTGGCAAGGAGAAGGCAGTATGTCGTTTTCAAAAAGTTGAGAGTCGCTGGGGCTACAGTGGCACAAGTGACCGGATACGTTTTAACTGTAACAAGAGAATCTTTGTGGTGGGCTTTGGCTTGTATGGGTCTATGTATGGTCCAAGCGACTACCAAGTTACTATTCAGGTCATTCAAACTGAGACAGACAAGATCTGTGGTCATAATGAAACTGCATTCAGCAGTGATGGCAGTGACAATACTTTTCGTGTTATGTTTAAAGAGCCAATCGAGATTCTCCCTGGGGTAGGTTACACTGCTAGTGCAACTCTCAAGGGACCTGATTCACACTATGGTACTTCAGGAGGAAAGAAAGTTGTCTTTGAAACAGAGCAGAAGGAGAAGTTAACTTTCCAGTTCTCAAATGCCACAGGAAATAATAATGGAACCTCTGTGGAGGATGGGCAGCTTCCTGAATTAATATTTTACACATGATAGAAGAACAAGAAACTGTATAGGCATCATTGTATGCGCATTGCAGGTTACCTGTACCTGTATGTTATTTTTGTAAGTAGCTGTGATTCTACAGACATTGTTAGTAATGATTTTGCAACAAGATAGCAGAGCCATGTGCATATTCCTGACAGTGAACTAGGATTTTGGAGACCCCTATACCTGTAGTTTTCTCTTTTTTTACCCTATCACAGCTTTTTGTTGATTCCTGTCTTTATTTGAATGTTCTGTGGCTCATAGACTCACTATAAAAGATGCTGGAGAAACAGAAAAAAGTATTGAAAACTTTGGCTCTTGAACTGACACTTGTGACTTCTACTTGTGGTCATCCTGGTTCATGTAATGTGTTGAGCAAATATAAATATTGTAATGCTTTAATAATTACGCCAGATAAAGATAGATTTACATTAGATAACAGAAGGAAGTAATGTATTAAAGATTCTGTAAGGTTGACTGACTTATCCCAATAGGCGGGACATCTAA